CAAAGATAATGTCCGATGATTTCCGCATTCCATTGGGTCATGTCTCTTTGGAATGGACAGAAATATGGATCTCTTCCAATCAGTTGGTCAGATAGTTGTCTTCCAAATTTTTTGGCAGAGATGAGTGAGTGCCTCCTGTGCCGCCTCACTTTCTTGAAAGATTTCAATTTGTATTCCATTAATTCTTGGTGCCTTGTTCTTTGCCAATTCCTTCAATGCGCCTTGGACTTCTTCCTTCTATATCATTGGCTCTTGATCATATGCTACCTCTTGAAACAGTTTAACATCAACCATTTTCTTTTTGTACAGTGACTGTGTATTCCTTCCATCTTCTCTTGATGCTTTCTGCATCATTCAATAATTTGCCCAGAGAATCTTTCAATAACGAAGTCGAGGCTTGATTTTTTTCTTCAGTTCCCCCAGCTTGAGAAATGCTGAGTGTGTTCTTCCCTTTTGGTTTTCTGACTCCAGATCCTTGCACATTTCATTGTAATATTTGACTTTATCGTCTCGAGCTGATCTTTGCAATTTTCTGTTCAGCTCTTGGACCTCCTCATTTCTTCCATTTGCTTTATCATCTCTATGCTGGAGAGCAAGTTTCAGTGTCTTTTCTGACATCCATTTTGATCTTTTCCTTCTTTCTTGTCTTCTTGATGACTTTTATCTCCTAGAAATGCAACTAAATGCTACTTGGCTGAGGTTGCTCTTCTAGATTCTAAGACTCCACGAAGGAGTCCTGAGTAGTAGAGTGGATTATGAGCTGGGCTGCTAACCCCAAGGTCAGCAGTTCGAATCTACCAGCTGTTCCATAGGAGAAAGATGAAGCTTTCTACTCCCATAAAGATTTATAGCCTCGACAACCCTATGCAGGCTTGCTATGAATCACAGCACATAACCACCACCAGTTTATGTATATTCTAGTTATCCCCATAAGAACCTATGAAGTAGGCACAGTCATTGCCCCATGTTCCAGGAAACAAAGGCAGAATGAGGTTGTCATTCTCTGGGGTCCCAAAGATCGTAAGTGACAGGCAAGATTTAACCAAAGTCTGACTCAAAGTAGGTGTTCCTACTCATTGATAATTTGTACCCAAATTATTTAGTTTAAAACTAATATGGACCAAGCACATGTACATATATCAGATGACCTTATTTAATTATCAGAACTTCCATGAGCCATAGGAATAAAAATTCCCATTGTTGAGATGGAAGCCTTGGCATGGTGAAGTGGCCTGCTGAAGTCACACAGATGGTGAGTGAGATAGAGTCTGGGAACAGAGCTGGTGAACCCTGACCCCTATTCCTATGGTGTGAGAGACCCTCGTCTCCTCATTTCTAGTCATGGACTGTCAAGAGGATCCTATGCCCAGCATCTTGCCTGGACTGCACTAATGATTTTCTTTTAATCTACCTTTACTAGATGTATGACTTAGGGACAATATTTAACCTCTTTTAGCTTTACTCTCACTCTCTGTACAATGGGATTCAAAATATTGACTTCTTCATAAAGCTGTTGGGAGACTTGAGATCATGCCTGGAGAGTGATTAGCACAGATATGTACTAACTGCTCAATAAATAGTAGCCATCAAGTCAATTCTGACTCATAGCAACCCTAATAGCGTTCCTGAGACTTTCAGTCACTATAGGAACAGACAGCCTCATTTTTCTCCCGTAGAGTGGCTGGTGGTTTTGAACTGCCAATGTTGTGATTAGCTTACCCTCTAGCACCACCAGAGCTCCTTATAAATAGTAGTTATTTGAAAGGTGTCCCTGGGTCCCAAACAATTGAGTGCTTCACTACTAGATGAAAGGTTGTTGGTTCAAACCCACTCAAAGGCGTCTCAGAAGGCAGGTCTTATGGTCTGCTTCTGGAAAATTCTTTGAACAGTCCTACTCTGCACACGTGGTGTTGTTATGAGTCAGAACTAATGCCATAGCAACTGACAACAACATTAGCTATTTAAAAAATTCACCATTATTATTATGGCCAGAGTAACAATAACTTTGACAATTCTGCATAAATCACATTGTTTTATGTGTCTCCGCCCACTGAACCAATGGCCTGCATTGCTTCAAGTGAGGGGAAGCTATAAACCAGGACAAAGAAACCATTGCTTTGGAAACAATGGTAATAACTGGGACCACTATTTTTTATATTGAAGGAGCGCAGGTGGCATAGTGGGTTATGCATTGAGCTGCTAGCCACAAGGTCAGCAGTTAGAGTCCACCAGCTGCTCCAAAGGGAAAGGTGTAGCTGTCTGCTTCCATAACAATTTGTTGTTGTTGTTGTTAAGTGCCGTCAAATAGATTCCAACTCACAGTGACCTAGTATAGGGTTTCTGAGGAGCAGCAACTGCTGAGTTTGAATTGCTGACCTTGTGGTTCAAACCGACCTTGTGGTCTAGTGTTTATCCTACAGTGCCACACCAGGACCTCATATCCTCATAATAACACTAAGATGTTATTTACAGCCTCGGAAACCCTATACAGGGTTTTTTGGTTTCTGACTATAAGTCAGAACCAACATAACAGGACACCAACCACCACATCTGTCAGGTTTTACTGAGAGAGTAAATCAATCTCTATATTCGCTATACATGTTCCTTATCAAGCGCAATATTAGACTCCATTGTAAGCCAAAGCACAAAGCACATATACAATATGGCATAAGGGAATTTTACATATACTAGTAGGAATAAACAGAAAGTCTTTGTGTACCTGGGAGGAATAAACAGAAAGTCTTTCTTTACCTAGATCTGGAAAAGAACAAGTGGTAAGTGTTCTGGTTCTGCCTCCTCCAAGGGAGAGAGACCAGAGAAGTTTGGTGAAATCCCGGAGTCCGGGGGTGGTGGTGGTGTCTGGTTTCTCACTCCCCAGCAGAGAAAACAAACAAATAAAACTCCCGGTTGCTGTTGGGTAGCAACCCCACATGTGTTAAGTAGAGCTGTGCTCCACAGGGTTCTCAATGGCTGATTTTTCAGTAGATGGCCACATCTTTCTTCTGAGGTGCCTCTAAGTGGATTCAAGCCTCCAACTTTAACAGCCAAGCATGTTAACAATTTGCAGCACCCAAGGACCTTCAGGGCATGGCTTGGACAAATCTCAAACTCCTTAGGGAAACCTGAGGCTATCACAGCACTAGCGAAGGCCCATGGAAGGTGGCTCATAAGTAGGGCTCAAGGGCAGCCTCCCAGACTCTTAAAATCCCTGCCTGACTCAAAGAGAGTGGCTGAGTCCCCCAGATTCCAACTGGCTATAGATGGTTGAGAAATATGGTGACTAGACACAGGTGTGGAGTTAAGGGCAGAGAATCACAGAGCATAAGAACATGTCAAGCGTAGACAGGATGACAGACTTCAGCCATGGGAGCCCATGGGATGCTCAAAAAGCACTGTTTCTCTTTATATTCCCTTCCAGTCAATGCTCCCAAGGACATTTTGTGGTAAGAGAGATGCTAAGTTACATTCAGCCCTTGTCCCGTTCAAGGACTCTCATTCTCAACAGAAGTTCTGTTCAAGCTTGCCTTATTCAATCACTTTCCACATGCACACGGGACTGTGGTATTCAGGCATCCAGGCTTAGGAGTCAAATGATGACATAAACTTTCTATGTGACCATGGGGAAATGTCTACCCATCTTTGGTAGTTGAGCCCACATTTCCTTCCACTTCAGATGTTCTGTGATACTGTTTCTCAGCTCATTTGTGCAGCTTTCTTCCCTTGCTTTCTGCATTCTGTTGTTGCTTCCCACTTTGTTATTATGCAACTTTGTACTTGATACTGAGTTCTTTATTGTCTAGGAGTCAGCTCTGCAAATGGGATTTAAGTCCCTTGTCAAACTGGAATCTCTGATACCTTCAAATAGGTAAACAGAAAACCAACATACTAGTACTAATATAGTTATTCTTTATTGACTCTCTGTTAGGTGTTGTTGTTGATGTTGTACTTAAGTGGCATCGAGTTGATTCCAACCCATAGTGACCCTGTATAGGGTTTCCAAGGAGCAGCTGGTGAGCTTGAACCACCAACCTTGCAGTTCAGATGACTTTGCAGTCTGACACATTAACCCACAGCGCCACACCAGGACATTGTTGTTAATAGGTGCTGTCAAATCTGCTCTGATTCACTGCAATGCTACATACAACAGAACAAAACACTGCCCAGTCCTGCACTATCCTCACAATTGTTGTGTTTGAATCCATTATTGCAGCCACTGTATCAATCCATCTCATTAGGGTTCTTCCTCTTTTTCACCGACTCTCTACTTTGTAAAGAATGATGTCCTTCTCCAGAGACTGGTGTGCCCTAATAACATGTCCTACATCTATGAGACAAAGTCTCACCATCCTTCCAAGGAGCATGCTGGCTGCAGTTCTTTTGAGACAGATTTGTTTGTTCTTTTGGCAGTCGATAATATTTTCAGTATTCGTCACAAACCCCATAATTCAAATACTTCAAGTATTCACTGTCCAGCTTTTAAGCCCCAGTGATGTTGTAGGATAAACACTGACCCTCTAACTGCAAGGTTGGAAGTTCAAACCTGCGAGCTGATTGTCAGGAGAAAGGTGAGACTTTCTGCTCCTATAAAGATTTATAGCCTCGAAAACCCTATACAGGGTCATTATAGACTCCTGATATGGCACTGTAGGACAGCTACCTGCAAGGTCTGTGGTTCAAACCCACCAGCTACTCCTTTAAAGCCTTGAAGAGTGTTGCTATAAGTCAGAACCAACTAAATGGCACTTAACAATGAGTTAGAATTGACTTGCTGAGAGAATGTTCGGTGTTATTGTTGTTAAGTGCCATTGAGTCCGTTGCAACCTTATATAGGGTTTCCAATGAACAGCTAGTGGGTTTGAACTGCCACCCTTGTGGTTCAAAGTCCAGTGCTGATCCTACAGCGCCACACCAGGAGTCCTTGCTAAGTGTGAGATACTTTGAATACATTAGCTCTATTCTTCATAATAAACTTGCACAATAAATATTATCATCTACACTTCATTGATTTAGTTATGGCTCACATCCATACAGGACTGGGATTTGTTTGAGTCTAAAGCCCTTACATTTTAGCACATCACAGTGCCATTAGGCCTATCTTTAACAACTATTCCCTGCACTGCCCAAATGTTTTTGAGGAGCGAATGACTAAGCATGTCCGATGTGCTGCTTGAACTGTGACGTGTAAGTCAATTCCAGCAAAGTGACCAATACTTACTACCCAGGACTGCAGGGCTGACTGCGCTCAGCAGAAGGAGCAGCCACGTGCCTTTGGAGGTCATCTTCCCCTGGGGACCCACGTGCAATGAAAATCTCTACTGCAAGGATCGCAGAGTTCTCCTTAGTTTTTCTTGGAAGTTCTTGGATTTACCTGTACCTGCAATCTGAATACATTTGCACTGGTGAGAAAGAATCTAGAGTCGAAAGCATGTATACAGGAAAAGAATATTTTTCTGATAAACTCAGTGTAATGGTTAATTTTATATGGTTCCGTTTCTCTAGAGAACCATGGCTGACACCCAGAGTCTACAATGAGGCCAAATCTCAAGCTAAATGTGTTGTGGTTGTTAAGTGCCGTGGAGTCCCTTCTGACTCATAGAGATCCTGTATAGCGTTTCCAAGGAGCGGCTGGTGAGTTTGAACAGCCGACCTTGAGGTTCAAACTGACCTTATGGTAGAGTGCTTATCCTACAGCGCCACACTGGAACATGTAATTTAAGACGTTTGGTTCTTAATGTAATTTAAGAGGCTTTGTTTTTATTTGCAAGGCCTTCTGGATCTGTGCTAGATATCTAACTACTATATTGTTGTTAAGTGACATCAAGTCTGTTCCAATCCATAGAAACCCTGTGTCGGGTTTCCAAGCAGCAGCTGGTGGGTTTGGATGCCGACCTTGTGGTTAACCGACCAGCACCAACACTGGGACTCTGACTCCTGTGGACTTTGCATTTTAGGAAATCTGTCAGATGAAAGTACACTGCTGTTTTCATAACACCACCAGAGGGCATCCGATGCAAACGTTCTCACAAGTGAGGACGCTGGGGTCACTACTGTCATGTCAACCAAGCCTGTCCCTCAAATGAATTCATTTTACAGATGAGAAGACCTGAGGTCAATGGGTATGAGGTCATTTGCTTTTGTCACACAGTAACAATCAGATCACATGACTGCAGTTGAGCACCCTTCTTTTAGGCTTAGTTGACCTTTTATTTTTTGTTACCTTTCCCCTACCATCAAATAAAACAGAAAAAAAAGCAAAGCACACATATGAAATAGTAAGTAAATGCCACCTTCCAGAGATACACAATTTGATGAACAGTCTACAGCACTCTCTCTCTGCTGTGTATACTTTTATATAAATAGAATCATGTTGTTCTACAACCTGATTTTGTTTCTTAGCAGTTGATTGATTGCAAAACCCTACTTGCATTTCCATAATATTTATGCAGCTCTGATTCTCTTTGTAGTATAAATTCACATTTTCACAGACCATGCATACTGTCATCTTTGTCTCCTCTCACAAAGGGCCTGTACCACACACACCACTGCACAGGAATGCTCGTTTTCCCAAGCCCTGGATGCTTCCTTTGGTTCTTCTTCTTCTAATTTTAATCTATTAAAGAAAAGCCTCATTGTTTCTGTGGGCATTTTAAGATTGCTAACAAAGTCCAACTGTTTTTCATTGAACGATTAGCTGTTTGTATTTCTTTTGTGAGTTTTCAGTTTGCAGCTTTGCACATTTTACTGTTTGGTTGTTCATCTTTGTGTCTACCTTTGGAGGTGGCACTTACTCCCTGTTTTATAATTTGGGTTTGATTTTTTTTTAGCAATTCTCATATGATTTGATAGTGGGGGAAAGGTAACTGTGAGACATTCCTTTGATATTTAGATTCTTTCCTATATTGCTAGTAGTAATTCCCAATGGTATTTTTCTCTTGTTTATAGTACTTTTTTTTTTTTTTTTTTTGCCAGAGTAGCAATTTAAAACATTATATTGTCGTATTTGTGTTCTCCATTATAATTCTTGGAATTCATATCAGAAAGGCTGGCCATCACCCTCCCATAAGGATAAAATACTCACCTACATTCTCTTGTACTTTCATTCAGCTGGCCTTTATTTTAGGGTAAGCATGGAGTTAGGTTCCAGATTTTTCCTGTAAATAACTATTGTTGTTGTTGTTAAGTGCAGTCAAGTCAGTTCCAACTCATAGCAACCCTGTATAGGGTTTCTGAGAAGTGGGTGGTGAGGTCTAACCACTGACCATGTGTTTCAAACAGACCTTGTGGTCTAGGGCATATGCTACAGTGCCAAACCAGAACGCCATAAATAACTATTGTTGTTGTTAAGTGCCGTCAAGTTGGTTCCAACCCATAGCAGTATAGAGTTTCTGAGGAGCAACTAGTGAGCTTGAACCATCGACCTTGAAGTTCAAACTGTCCTTGCAGTCCAGTCTGTTAACCTGCAGCACCACACCATAGCTATTAAAATGAGTAATTCATTGACTTCTCAGGTGACTATACTGTATTACTATTATCATTGTTTGTCTTAGTCTTGTTTGTAATAATGAAAAACGGACCATTATCAAAAAATGTCCATAAGCAAGGATATTCACATAGAGGAGCGTATACTAGTGAAAGGTTGATACTATAATGAGTGCAATTTCAATTTGATAAAAACACAGGCGTTAGATAGGTAGCTCTCATCCCATTGACTATGACTCATGGCGACCGTATGTTCAACAGAACAAAATGTTGTGCAGGTCCTGTACCATTCAAGCCATCGTTGTAGCCATTGTACCAGTCAGCATCCTCACTGACCCTCGGCTTCACCCCACATGATCTCCTCCTCTCCAGCAACTGATCCTGCTCAGTGTTCTCAACCTCACCAGTTGCCTTCGAGTGGATTCCAATTCATGGCACCCCCATGTGTGTCAGAGTAGAACTGTGTGCCATACGGTTTTCAGTGGCTGAGTTTTTGGAAGTAGACCACGAGGACTTTCTTCCCAGGTGCCTCTGGGTAAACTTAAACTTCTAGCCTCTTGGTTAGCAATCGAGCACATGAACCAAACTTTATGATACAAAAATCAGTATACATCGTCTAACGTTCAAATAATAGATTGCTTAAGAGGAATGTTGTTGTTGTTAAGTGCCGTTAAGTCGGTTCTGACCCAGAGCGACCCTGTATAGGGTTTCCGAGGAGCAGCTGGTGAGCTTGAACTGCCAACCTTGCACTTCAAATGGTTTTGCAGTCTGGTGCATTAACCCACAGCGCCACACAGGAAGAGGAATGTTGTTGTTTTTGTTAAGTACTGTTGAGTCAATTCCGACTCATAGCGACCCTGTACAGGGTTTCCAAGGCTGTAAATCTTTACGGAAGCAGAACGCCTCATCTTTTTCCCGCAGAACCACTGGTAGTTTCGAACTGCTGACCCTGAGGTTAGCAGCCTAATTCGTAACCACTATGCTACCAGAGCTCCTCCAAGAGGAATAGTAGAACGTAATATTTGAAATGGAAAATTCTAAGCCTCCATATGAACACTGTGGTACATGTTAACAGGAAACCCAAACCAAACCCACTGCCATTGAGACAATTTCAACTCAGAGTGATCCTATGTGGGGTTTCCTAGGCTGTAAATCTTTACAGAGCCAGACAGCCTTATCTTTCTCCCACAGAGTGACTGATGGGTTTGAACTACTGACCTTGTGGGTAGCAGCCCAATGCCTAATCCATAGTATATCAGGGCACCTAATGTTAACAGAGAAAAGAGACAAATGGTGTGGAGTGTGGATCTGTGATGTGTCTCCCTTTTAAAAATTATGATAAGAACTCTTCTGAAAATCCTAAAATCCCTTTAAAATGAAAAGTAAGAACATCTCTGTCAAGCTGACTGAGAAGGAAGGGAAATGCCTCATCTTTTCAAATGATCTATAAATGAATCAAAATCGTTTTCATTGCATGTCAGCAAATCCTCTCATTTAACCCTCACAGCGAGGCTGCATTGCCAGCATCTAACTTATTTTACAAAATGAAGAAATTGAAGTTCATTGTAATTAAGCTATTTTCCCAGTTTCACGGACTCTACTTCAGTTTATGAAAGAGTCCTGATGTGGTTCTATAGGATAAGCACTGGACTACTAACCACAAGGTCAGCAATTCAAACCTACCAACTGCTCTCAGAAACCTTGTACAGGGTCGCTATGAGTTGGAGTTGACCCAACTGCACACAACAACAACAACAAGTTTACAGAACAATGATATGTACCTAACGCAGTTCAACCCCAATGCCAATGTTCTTTACAATGAGGGAAAAAAAGAAAATAATAATTCAAATCAAACAAAACAGCCTCAAAAAGCATATGCAATATCATTAGTGGTATACTTGTACTTTTTGGTAAAGTTAAGAGCTGGAAGAGGAAAGCAGATTTACAAGAAAACCTTTTGCCCTTAAGGAAGCCTGGTGTGGTTCCATAGGAGAAACACTGCACACCTAACCTCAAGGTCGGCAGTTCAAATTCACCAGCTGCTCCATGGGAGAAAAATGAGGCTTTCTGCTCCTGTAAAGATTTACAGCCTCAGGAACTCTCTTTTAGGGTCTCTGTGAGTCAGAACGGACTCCACAGAACTTTACAACAACAACAACAACAATGTGCCATTAAGCAGGAGGAAAATGAGGCTTCTTGCTGCTGTAAAGATTTGCAGCTTCAGAAACCTTATAGAGGGTGGTTATGAGTTAGAATTGACTTGATGATAATGGGGTTTTTCTTTCTTTTCTTCTGCCCTCTATTAAAGGAAGGATTACCTGGTTGACCTCCAAGGAGCTGAAGGGCCCGGGTCTTCGTCTTGAGTGGTTAAGGTTAAGGTGGCTGGGGCTCTTATATCTTCTTGCCTCGGGAATTGTGTGACATTTCTTTTAATCATAGAGCAATCATTCTGTTTACAAATAATAATCCATCCATAAATGTCTTATCTACAGTTAAAGACAGTGAACAGTGTAAGCCATGACTTGAAAATTTACCTAAGATGTGTTTTAAAACAGTTGGAAGATGAACCTCATCCAATATGCAAACAGAATCTTTTCTTTACAACCTACACTATCAAAACTGTCATCTGGTAATCTGTTATAAACCCTTTTATAAAGATTATTTTCATTCTTCTATTATCTCTCTTTTTTATACATTTGTGTTGTGTTTTTTTCCTTTATTCCTTCTTACTTGCTATAATGATGCCCCACATCAAGTCTGTAGAAAAGAGTTGCCACGAGGGTCACATATAGTCATTCAT